GCCCACTTTTGTATATGATATAAACAATGTGATCACTAAATTGTACATGTGGAGACATGTGAGTGGGGGCGTCTTATGCAATGAGTATTGCATAAGATCGGACCATGAAGAAAATAACTCTCACTTTATAATGTCATTTACTGTTGAGACTGATTTTATTTTCATTCGATAACCTAGGTAACTCGATCTTAATCTTCAGCTAACCATGAACTCTTGTTTATTCGGAATTATCCTTAGATTTGCATGGGTGAGAGTGGCTCAAGTTTGCCGACTCAATAGGCCTCCCATTTCAGGGGTAAGACTGGGTAAATGGTTGGGGACGTAGGGTGCAAGATGAAATTCACTCCTACCCACTTTTAGGGATAGAAGAGAGGTAGTTCCTTTAAGTACTGACTCCAGGTCTTGAACAAGGGGCCCCACCCTCTCATTGGTCTGAGAGGGATTCGGTTTACTGGTTGGAACACAAACCAATTGTTCATTAGAGGATCAGTGAGACATAAGAAACAAGAAGTAACTTCAGGGGTAAAACGGTAAATTGACCCGTCTCTAGTTACGAACAACCTGTGAAAGATCGACTTACTAATCATGGTTATATCAAATGGACAGAAATATATCTATAGTGAGGGGAGTGCAACTACTAGGCTATAGTGGAATGTCTTAGTAGTTAACGAATGTTGGTTAACAAGGTTAATGAGTTTAACCGGTTAATCTTGGATCGTTGGAGCTCATGATCTATAGGTCCCTTTGCTAGCTCATATCGGACTAAACCATAGAACATTGTGACGAGTGAGTTCGAAGTGTTCGAATTCAAATAGGGAGAATGCGCTACATATTTACGATATATTTAACCGCATTTTTATTTTATTTACGAATTAAACAAAAAGAAAGAATCTGATATATTTAAATAAGATTTAAATATTTTAATCAAATATGTGTCGGAATTAATTGGGATTGACATTTGAATTAATATTAAATATTAATTAAATAGTTTAATTAATCATTTAATATTACTTTAATTTGAAATTAATAATTAAAATTAATTGTTGAATTAAAATGAACGAAAGTCAAAATGTTGACGTTATTTAATAGAAAAATCCATGTTAGTGGAATTTTGAGGTGTCAAAATTTGGTTTAACCAAACTTGCATGCTTGCCAAATAAACCCACAAATTTTGACACCCAAAATTTCACTCAAATTTGAGAAGTTTATTGGGCAAGTATGCAAGTTTGATTAAACCAAATTTTGACACCTCAAAATTCCACTAACATGGATTTTTCTATTAAATGAGGTCAACCTTTTGACTTTCGTTCATTTTAATTCAACAATCAATTTGAATTATTAACTTCAAATTAAAGTAATATTAAATGATTAATTAAACTAATTTCACCGCAATCAATTATCGCATCTGACTGCTGGAATCCTGATTACTCCTCGAGGTGGTAGCATCTAATTTCACCGCAACATTATAAGCGGTAAAGAAATCTTGAGAAGCATGGGCAGACACGGATCCCTGTATCTCTTGCCTCAAACCTTGGATAAAGAGATCCGTTTTCTCTTCCTCAGTAGCAACCATAAGAGGAACAAATCTAGATAATCGAGTGAATTCTGCCTCATACTCCTCTACTGACATATTACCCTGTTCCAGTTGCATAAAGGTCTTTCGGTTTCGTAATCTCGCTAGAGCATGATAGCATTTCTCACAAAACTCATGTTTGAATGTCGTCCATGCGATTGGGGCTCCACCAGCCTCCATCTTTGGCTTCTTTGATTTCTACCAGGCTGGTCCTTCCAACAAATATGTAGCACACAGCACCTTAGGATTCTTCGGGCCGTTAAAGAATGTAAACTTTGTTTCAATACATTCTAACCACCATTCAGCCGCCTCAGGATCAGTCCCCTTTCCCCCAAAAGTTGGCAGGGTAAGTTTTATAAAATATCGTATATACTCACTTTCCTCCGTCATATATCATCGCCCATAAGTTACTACCCGCGGTGGTGCCTCTGTCACCACCGCTGTACCAGGTAGCTCCGTCGAACTTGTTGGAGGTATTACTGCCTGAACACCTAATTCTGGTGCTTTAGACATTGGAGTCGCTTGGCTAGATACAGGTGTTGTCGGAGCCGCTTGGCTTCTAAGACCAGCAAGAGTTGCCTGTACCGCCTGATCCACATGACTCTACACCGCCTGATTTACTCGACTCTCAATAAATGATTGCAGTGCTTCCAAAGTAATCACAACAGTCGGCTGATCTCTCGATGCCGACGGAGCAGCAGGCTCCGGATCTGCCTCTACTGGAGCAGTTCCTTCTATAGGCTGCTCCTCATTCCCGGGGACCACATTAGACGTACCAGGGTCTAAACTCTTAAATACTAGCATATCTGTCACACATAATTAAGTGGTCATAATCAATTCATACGATTCTTTCATACAGTTTAGTTATGCATCACTTACCTGACCGAGACGAGATACCGCTGAGCCAGACTAGAGGAATCCATACTGTCTATTATAGACTGTCTACAGAACCTATAACCTAGGCTCTGATACCAACTACAACACCCGCTCATCGACAGCACGATTTACAGGAGTTACCATCGACTCCGATAACAAACTCCAACAACTAATCATAATTTTGCAAAATATTTCCACAAAAAAATGTTCATAAGCATTAAGTAAAACATTCAAAACCAGTTCTATTTAAAACATTATTAACAAACATAAATTTTAAACAACGAAAACATAATTACATAAACAGACCCAGATATGGATTCCCAATAGTCTCTAGCTCGCTGGTCTCACCTTGGTTGCCCTGCATCATCTAAATCTGGAAAGAAAAGTTAAAATAATTTTGATGAATAATTAATTATCTAGTAAGTCGCTAACTTATCTTTTATAAGTTATAACTAATCTTTCGTGGTGTTTTTAAGTTTTATTCGCAATTGACTCCTAGTTTCTCTTTCTAGGGCCACCTGTTCGTTAATGAGGTATCTCAGCTACATCCAGTTTAGGTTACTGACTCTCTCTATATGCTTATCTAGAATTTCGGACTCGTATGTAAGACTCGTTCTCGGTCAAATACGTCCCGTCTACTAATTTCTCTGGCAGCCTGTAAATCTCATATACCAACGGTTAGGAGTACTCATTCTCTCTAACTTAGCACACAACGCATTGGTCAGGAGCTCTGCAGGAATTAGTAGACTACAATACTCATATAATTAGGCCATGGCTCCACAATCTATAAGCATATCCTATATTCATAACCTTTCCATTAACATGCTTAGCATACTTACATCTGATGCATGGTTTCATATGTTTATAATGTTCGACACATAGAACATTCTAGTAATCATTTATAACATGCTTACATCACACGCAAGCAGTCACAACACACAAATAATCGGTCAATATTATCATAGCACATATTAACATACTAAGCTCTTAATCATGTAAACAACATACTCGCATCTTGTAAAACAAGTTAAGAATTAGTTTAACGCACGATATGCTACTTGGTTTCGAATCCCTTTTTTCCTTGGTTGTACGTTTAATAGGGTATTTCAACCCAATTTCTTATAATTAGACCTATATTTCACAATTTTCAAGATAAGTATAGACCAATTTTGATAGGACAGGTCAAAAGGAGTCGAACGGGACAAACCGGGAGCCAAAACGATGATGCACGGGCCCTCACGCGCCTAATCTGCGCGTAGTCGCGCTCTCACTCTCGGACTCCCACGCGCCCCGCGTGTCTCTCACGCACTCGTCCTCAACCTCGCATTTTCTGCAATTTTTCCCAACTTTTCCGTTAATACCCGTTGTATCCCTAAGTCATATATTACTTTTACAATCCGAATATCATCTCTATTTCTTCTACAACTTTATAAATCTCCTTATTATGATTTTAACAAAACTTATTACGCAATATAGACCAAGATATCAAAATTTAAAAGTTCGAACAAATGGGTTTTTCGTTACCTTTGGTATAAACACTTAAATCAACTTAAATCCAGAGCATTTCTGGCTGAAAATCATCACACTCGTCTCCCATCCTCAAGTTTGCACACTAACACAACAAAAGCCGAAAGAACCTTACGATTTACCAAACATACGGGTAAAATTCTCCTTCCTCTGTTATTTATTTTTTTTTCTTTCCCTCTATTCTATGTTTTTAACCTTCTTACCAAACCTTTAAGTTTTGATTCCACCATCGCCAACCCACTTGTGTTACTATCCTCTCCCTCCATTACAGCAGCTTAAAGCAACAGCTGTTTGTTTGTTTGTTTTTTTTTCCTTTTTTAATTAATTAATTTATTTTATTATTACTATTAAATATCAGTACTTTATTTATTTATTTTAGATCATTCCAATTTCCTTTTTTTTTTTAATTATTGTATGATAATTGGAATATATATATATTCAAATTATGAAAGGATTTTATCACACTCAAACCCCACAGGAGTCCATATTCCAAATAAACATATTTTTAACCTAAATTATTAATCTTTATTTGTATGAAATTTGGGAACAAGAACGCATATTTTTATAAGGATAAATTTAATATAATTAATATTAATTTTTGAATATTTTTGAATATTTTTTTAATCTTATTCATATAATAATGATAAGGATGTTTTGAATAAATTACTACTAAGACTATGTTTTGAATTTTATTTTATTTATGAATAAGGATATTATTAAGTTTAGGAAGGCATACGCAATTTAGAAATATATATATATATTATTAATTTAGTCTGAGTTATTATTTATTTATTATTATTATTTTTAATTAAACCCAGACTTCAGACTTCGTTTCTCGAGGTCCATTTTTGGATTCCTTCAATTCGTCTCTTCGATTTCGTTGGTCCTCTTCCACAGAGAAGAACTGATGCACGAAGAAGAAAGCTGCGCCTGTATTCTTTGGTTCATTTGGAACAGTTCAAAGAGGATTAGCGGTTGAAATCAAGATAAATCTGAGCTGCTCAGGTTAATTTTGCTTCAAATCTGATTTCTAATTTCCCCTCATCCTCTCCCCCTCTCCATCCCCAAGGAAGAACTGCATTTTGATTTATGTTCTTTTGTTTGTAATCTCATGATTCCAATCGCCAGGCATTTTCTGTTGAATTACTCCGGTTGTGTTGAACTTTTGTTTCACTTTATAAAAGAGGAGGGCTGTATTTCTGCCATATTGATCTAGAAAAACCTCTTTTATTATGCTTTTGAGGTTGTGGGGGTTCGGTGAGACTTCTACTGTCCTTGGTGATATTTTAATTTCTGTGGGGATTGGTGTGGAAGGATGAGAATCTCGCTTATTCTTCTGTTGCTGTAATCTTCTTTCCCACAAATTATGAGTCGAATTAGGCTTCCACTGTTTCAAATGATTTTCCAAGATGGGGAATCTGAGGTTCGCTCTTTAAAATTTGCACTCCACTCTCTAAGGAAGAGTTCAATTTATTTATTTATTATGCATTGAATCTTATGATATGCCTCCTGGAAAGAACTTGATGCTATTTTCTGCTTGTGGAATGCTGGAAAATGATTTAGTGATCAGGATTTTTTTTTTTTTTTATAATATGAATCCAACTACGGATCATTTGCATGTACCAGAAACAAGGTAAAGAAGATTCAAGAGGCCTTTAGGTAGCTAGGCTAGCTAATGTACAAGTTGAAACAAAGATTTTTGAGCTAAAAGCATAAAGCATTGGAAATTGATTTGAAGATTTTTTGTCTTTGGTAGTTCATCCTTCGAACCAGCTCTTGGTTGGAATCAATTCTTTAAATTAGCTCTATTTGTGAAAGTTTGCAATGATTCTAGAACGACTTACAGCTTTGCAAATCCAGCCATGGTGGGTGCTTATCATTTCCCCTTTTTTCTTCCAAATGCTTCAAATTCTAGATGATTTCTGTGTTGATATGATGCCTTCATCATGGGATGTCATTCTATTTTCAGAGTGAAATCTTTCAATGTGATAAATACTACATCTTGTGCTGCTATTCCCTGTTTAAACTTGGATTGAGTTATTAAACACCACATCTCTTTAACTTGAATGATTTGTCATATCATCTTTCAGGAGTCTATTTCATGTAATTGTTCTGTCTTCTAAAAGTTGTGAGTTCAAGAAATGTTTATGACATTTATTTGGAATCTCCATTCTTTCTAGTGCCCTGGTTTTCAACGTGAACCCAAGAAACTGGACCTTCTGTTCCATCGAAGGAGCACACTATGCAAATAGCTTGTCAACCCCATCCACTGGTTTACTTCTCTATCAGGTCTCTCTCTTCTCTCCCTTGTGCGCGAAACTTCTCATTGTTATTTTCACTTCTAAATCGAAATTTGAATCTGAAATGCAGAAGCATCTCTAAAAGACAAGATGAATGGAAGAACGTACAGAATTTGCATTCAAGAAGCTTTGTTAAACTTGTATTTTTGGAACCTCAGACTCATAAATTTGCTAGGCCACTGTGCAAAAACAGATTGTATGCAATCCCACATGAAGAAGATGGGCGCCCTTCTGCCTCGATGCCAGAGGATGTTAATTCGAAACCAATGCTTAATTCTATAGCAGAGGAGTTGGGGAATAAATGGTCGCCTCCAAGATATCTATGGAGGGGGCTATCAGTTCTTTTTCTAACTGGGCAGGTCATTATGAGGACTTTAAAGGGTAAAATCCATTGGAAAAATACTCTCCAACAGCTAGAGAGAGTAGGGCCAAGATCTGTAGGGGTTTGTCTTCTAACATCTGCATTTGTTGGCATGGCTTTTTCTATCCAATTTGTCAGAGAATTTACTAGATTAGGATTAAACAGGTCTGTTGGTGGTGTATTAGCTTTGGCATTCTCAAGGGAGCTAAGTCCCGTGATTACGTCGATTGTGGTTGCAGGGAGAATTGGAAGTTCATACGCTGCAGAATTAGGAACAATGCAAGTCTCAGAGCAAACCGACACGTTAAGAATCTTGGGTTCAAACCCTGTCGATTATCTCGTCACTCCAAGAGTTATAGCCTCCTGCATTGCTCTTCCAATTCTAACTTTAATGTGTTTCACAGTTGGGATGGCATCAAGTGCTCTTTTGGCCGACAGTGTTTATGGTATTAGCATCAACATTATCATTGACTCAGCTCTAAGAGCTCTAAAATCGTGGGATATAATCAGCGCGATGATCAAATCGCAGGTTTTCGGTGCTATCATATCGATTGTAAGCTGTGCTTGGGGTATCACTACTTCGGGGGGTGCTAAGGGGGTTGGGGAGTCCACAACTTCAGCCGTTGTCATCTCTCTTGTGGGCATATTCATTGCTGATTTCACCCTTTCTTGTTTCTTCTTCCAAGGAGCTGGAGATTCCCTCAAGAACTGTATGTAAATTCATTGAGCATAGTCACAAATACTTCTACATTATTCAGTGGGGAAAAGAGCATGTCAGAATCTGCTGTTTACATAAAACATGTCTCCAAGAAGTTTAACAAATGGGAAGCCATTGCAGGTATGTGTGAGTTTTAGTTTAATTTGTTTTTGGGCTGAAACAACAACTTTCTGGCTTTTCTTGCTGTTTTCTTATTGTCTAGCAAAGAAGTGCCTTTTTTACGTAGGATTAGCAGTCCACGTTATCTTCCACTTTCGATTGAGTTTATGAATCTCAGCTCATGTTTTTAAGTAGAACTTTTGACAAATAATATGATTCTGCCACTAGATGGGTCACTTAAAAACCCATCTAAAATTTGTAACAATTTAATCTCTCCGGTAAAAAAATAATATTACAATAAAGGAAAAAAATCAAAACATAGGTAACAATTTAGTACTATGTTTTAAACCTACCCTAATATTTTGCCCGTCCTAATTTCGATTAGAAATTGATGGCTGAAACTTAAATCCTAATTGTCTATAATCTTAATGAGAGGGAATAGGAGTTGAGTTAGAATTTTTTCATTTTTTTTTTAATTTTTTTTACTAACTCAAATTTTGGTTCGGTTGGATTAGTTACTCGAATAGAGTTTACAATCCAAATCAACCTTCTATTTTCTAATTGGGTTGGGTTGAGTTTGGTTGTTAAGTTCAATCACTAACATTGGTTATAAAAGGTAAAATATTCTCAATCGGGTGCATAAAGAGCGGAGGATTATTAGGAGGGAGTCCCACATTGACTAATTTAGAGAATGATCATGGATTTATAAATAATAATACATCTCCATCCATATGAGGCCTTTTGGAGAAGTCCAAAGCAAAGCGATGAGAGCTTATGCCGGGCAATATCATACCATTGTGGAAAAGATCTATGATTCCTAACAAGTTTTTCTAAGTAGCCTCGCCCTCCTCCTTCTGGACACCTTAAACGGAAGAATCCCTTGACCACTCACTTATTCTTTTGATCATATGGCTGCTACAGCTATCATGTGGAGTCTAGACAATTTAAACTATGAATATTCATTTTGCAACTCAATAACAATAATATAATATAGAAGCCTATGTCCGCTATACATTCAACATCTACTGTTATATCAGCTGTAATCTAACAATGCAAACTTTACAATCAAACCAATCTTACCACCCTCAGTTACCAACTTAGCAGCCGTTACCAGCCAATGGCCCGGAGTATCATGCGGCCCCCTTACCACCTCAGCTGTATCGACATATTTTAGAAGCTTTTTGGATCGAACCGGGACGGGTGGTGCCTCTCCATAAACACCAGAGTTCAGAGCACGTGGGACCTGCTTTTGATCAGCAGCAGCTCGCTGTGTGAATGAAAATGTCGTGCTTAAATTCGTGAGGAACGTCGACTTACGAGAAGCTTCAGGGCCAGCAGCCCACTCGGTTCTTCGGATGGTGAAATTGGGCAAGTGAGTGAACTGAAGGCGAAGGTGAAGTATTGTCTTAGGCCAGTTGCCCTTGCTGATTAGCTGAGCTCCTGTTACAATGTAAACACCATTACCATCATGCTGCAACCAGTTGGGATCATGCCTAACGACTGAACTGCACACATTTGAATAGTTTTTCCATTTGATAGGTTCAAGGAATTGGCCACTCGAGTCGCTGTCATCGGAGCCCGTCCATTGGCTTCGACCTGATACATCAGATGTGTCCATCAATCTGGCCATGACTTTTGGAAGGCTGGTTAGATGCTGTACATGTAGAGCCAACCAATTGGATTTCTTCCCTTCTAAATACAGGCGAAGGCCAACCAACGGTTTCCTACTACTTGTGACCTGAAAGGAAAATTCAAAAACCGAACCAGGGTCAATAGTGAATGTGAATCAAATGGCATATGCTGCATAATCCAGGGAGACAAAAAAAAAAAAAAAAAAG